AGGTTTTCTAGTAGTTACCTTAGCCTCCAAGTTAGGGTTGCCTTGGCAGCCACACTACCTAGTTTTTTTGGATTTTTTTCTCCTATAAATAGGAGTTCTTTTCATTCATTGTGGCACTTCATTATTGATTAATAATATTATACTTTGAGAGTTCTTTTGAACCTTTGTTACTTATGCTTTGAGATTTACCTTTCAACCTTTAGTAGTTCATAGTTCAAGATAGTAAGATAACTTCTTTATTGTGATATCATTGATTCCTTTGTGGTATTCTTAGAAGGCGATTAATACTAGTTATTAATTGTTGTCTCAAGTTACTCGTAAAGCGGTCAAGATCCGAATCTATTGTTTTTGATTTGTTCTTAACTAAAGGCGTTTGATTTCTTCAATAAATCAAAACGTTGTTGCTTGGATCTTGTCAAGGCTTTAGAACTTGCGTTCTTGGAAGTTCTTGGAATTCTTTCCCTGAATTTTCCCATATCCTTTATTTTCTGCACTTTAATTCTTGTTGTTCAATTCCTTATTGTTATTGCTTCCGCATTTACTTCTCAATTCCTTACTCTAGTTTGGATTCCGACCTTGTTATCAAATAGGGCAAACAGAAAGATCGACAGCAGCTAGTTACAATCAAGTCTCAACTGTTGCAGCAATAGAATATGAATGAACCTGGTGATAAAATATTCCTTTTTTTCATGATGAAGATCCTAGTGATTGAAATTAAAGTTTATGATGCCTCTCTCTCTCCAATTTCGTAAGACGTGCTTCTTTCTCAGCCAGGGAGTTTAAAGTCTGAGAGACTTCCAGAGATGGAATGATTGACCAAACCATTATACACCTTATGATGAAACGTTATGCTTGTTTACTTCTTCATTAGAGAAATTACCTGATTTCTTTTTGTAGCCATTTTATTTGACTGAAGAAAGTTCTAATTATGTTGAGAAAACATTACCGGTAACTAAGGACAATCTCAAGACACATCAGAAAGCTTTACCTTTTGAAATTTCCAGTTCAGAAAAGATGATTAATCAAGCTTATGAATCTGTCAAAACAGAAAAGCTTATGAAAATGGCCGACGAACTTACTGCAGGGGAGCACCAACTTCCACAGGAGAGTGCAAATGTGACGAGAGGTTCAAACCACTCCAAGCCAAAAACACGGCGAACCTTCAGCTCGTTGTCTTTCGTTGACTTTGAACGGGTCTTTCAAGTGATAGCTTAAGAATTTGTTGAATGAAGGAAAGATTTAAAAACAATTGCTCTAAGCTCACACTTAAGGAGAACACGTAAATGAACATGGAAAGGGTAACTTACATATTTTAAGTGGTATGGTAGCCTCAAGCTCAAGATGAAGTGCTCAATCATGATTGCATTTAGCAAATGCCCTCCCACATTAATTGTTGCCTGATGAAGAATATTCAGAAAGTTAACAGATTCTGGAATTCATTTGCTGCAGTATCTGAATAACCTTCAAGACGGATAGTTTTAACTGATCCAGGAGTTTTAGAAAAATTTTGAACACAAGAAGGCATAAATGCAGCCCAGATATTAGTATTTACAACTTTATAAAGCAGAAACATGTATTAACGAATCAGTCATAGCATCAGCATTATTTGAAGAAAAATGGACTAGAATGACCGCAGAACTTGCCTTTTGCATTAGTGAGACAACTTGTTCAGCAGTCTCTGGAATCCCATGCTCTAGAAATGCCTAAGAAATTCATGACAAAAGAAATTATTTCATAAATCGAGTAAGAGATTACTTGGTTTTTTTGGTCAAAAAAGATGCCCCTTACATTCATCACACAGGAATTGTATGTGTTTATCCAGAAAGCTAGCTTCTGCTGATGGCTCCAACCCTCTAATTTCGCTGATGATAGCTTGCCGAGGAGTATCCTTATGTTTAAAATAGAAGATGGCACAATAAGGACATGCAAATCTATGGACTCCTTACTCATAATTACTAGAAAATGAAAGATAGGCAGGAACTTACTTAAGCCTGTGAATCAGAAACGAAGCATTCGTTTTCCAGTTCAGATTAACAGAGTTAGCATCTATGTTAAGTATATATCTGTATCCGCCAAATATCTTGCTTCCTAAGTTCTGAACAGATGCAGTACGGATCCTGTAACTCTCTTTCCCCATTGCTTTCACTGAAAAATTTTGCACCTAAAGAGGAAAAGGATTCTAGATTTGCTATCTTCCCTTTAGATGTACTCAACCTTAATAAGATGCTAGACAAGCACTTTAATATGTCTTCAGAGATTTTGTTTGTTGTGGTTTCAGCTTCCAGTGCCCCTCGTCTGAAGAAGCTTAACAGCTCTCTTGTGCCTCTAGTACAACTCTGTATTGAACATTTGCTATTTTACTTACTGATTCAGGTTTGACTGGAGGCCTTTTTGACAAGGTCTTAATCGTGTTGACTTGCTTTTTTGGAGATGGCTTATGTTTAGTTGTCACGCCCCGAACCTGGGCCTGGACGTAACACGGCACTCGGCGCCCGACTACATGTGACCGGGCGAACCAACTGGCTGGCTGGATCAACATGTGGTATCATAACATACTGAATGCAGAAGATAAACTAACACATGCTGATATACTGAAAATTGTGGATGATATAAATCAAAGTGCGGAAATACTAATACAATTCTGAAACATATTTGTAGCCAACATGGCTTAATATGAAAAGTCTGTGACTCTGTCTAACTGTTACTCTAGTCTATGAAGCCTCTAATAATATACTGAAAATACTGACTGCCTTTAAGTACTGAAAACTGTAAGGTAATGATAATTCCCCGAAAGAACTGGGGATCACCAAATTAGCTGGTACGAGAATCCTAGCGCTCTGAATCGTCAACCTATTAATCATTACCTGCATTGCGAGATGCAGGCCCCGGGCAAAAAGGGACGTCAGTACATTTGAATTGTACTGGTATGTAAAGCAACTGAAAGAAAGAATTATAAATGCTGAAATTGAAACTAAGCTGATAACTGAAATGATAACTATTGAAACTGAAATTGAAGTGAGAACTGGTAACTGAACGGATAACTGAAAAGATAATTCATAACTGATAACTGAACTGATAACTGATAACAGATAAATGAACTGATAACTGAAAAGATAACTGATAACTGATAACTGAACTGAATAAAGGAAGTAAGGATATGAATACTCCCTCTTCTGAATGATGAACAACCTGCTCATCTGAATATTAAACTGCGGCCTCAGGCCCAATATATATATATGTGCACAAGCTGCGGCCTTGGGCCCAAGTATACGTATACATAACTGCGACCTCAGGTCCAAAATGCATAAAGCATAAACTGCGGCCTCAGGCCCAAAGATGCATAAAGCATTAGCTGCGGCCTCAGGCCCAAAGATGCATAAAGCATTAGCTGCGGCCTCAGGCCCAAAGATAGGTGTTCAACATTCAGGGATTTAAAATCAGGAACTGAGAATCATACTGCAATATATAATAGTGAAATACTGAATCACGCTGAGTTATATGATACTGGAATACTGGATCACACTGAGTTACATTATACTGGAATACTGAATAGGACTGGAATGAGACATGTATTCTTGAACTGGTTATGAACACTGAAACTGCAACTGTTTATGACATGCTGAGTAAGCTATACTAAGACTTCGGGGAATCAAACCCAAGTCTATATTGAATACGAACTGAGCTCACAACGTTCAGAATGAAAGTCATGAACGTGTACTCTAATCCAACGGTCCAGTTTTAATCTCGAATTTCAGATAAAAGTGTCCGAAATCTTTAGAAAATACAGAGACCAAATTCATCTTCATCGTACCCTGTAACGCCGGTGCCGGCCACCCTAGACACACCATCTACCACCGTCCCTCCGCCGTCCGCCGCCGGCCGAAAATCGTCGCCGCCGCCGGCGAAGCCCCAAATCCTCCCAAAATTACACCACCGTTTCTCCTCGTTCTCCTCTTTCCAACCTTGCCCTTGTTTTCCTTCGAATCTTAACCAATCGTTCCAAATATTAGATCGAAATTTCCGGCCAAAACACAACCTTGTCCAAACCACCCCAAATTAACACCACTCAACCACCTTCACCTCCTCTTTCAAACCCCCTAAGCCTCGCCCCTCAAATCTGACCAGAACATCTCGAATATTGGATTGAAGTTTTCCGGCCAAAGTTCAAAGTAGCCCGATCGAGCCCAGATTAACACCATAGGACCGCTTGGTCTTCCCCTATCAGATCCCCATGAATGTTCGATTCAAATGTGACCGGAATGGTTCGAATTTCAATTCCAAAATTTTCCGGCGGAACCCTAGATAAGTTTTTCTCCAGCGGTGTCCTTTCTTTGTTGTTTGCATGTGTTTAGTCGTCAGTTGCCTTCTCGTGTTGCTTATTAGTTCTGATTTCTTTAGCAATTAGGTTAGTTTCAGTGGCATGACTGTAGAAATTATATCAGTAAGTTTTTTTTAATTTTATGTGTTGCTTCATGACTAGTTCAATAATTCTTTTCACTCTGTTATAAGTTCAAGAAATTAATTTAGGTTTTGTCTGCAATTTTGAATCAACGATTTGTTCTGTTCTGTTGAGGCGTTCAGTAGCATGAATCTTTTTTGTTATGTGTGATTTCTCTTAAGCATATTTTCTTTTGTTAATCCATAGTTAGGGTTCAATGTCTAGAATTCTGATTTGATTAGTTTCTATTTGTTTGGTTTTCCAGTTTCGTACTGATTTTACTATTGTTAATTGATTAGTTGGTTGATTGTTAATGATAATTGGTAATTTGAGATTCAGTAATTAGTTTGGATTTAAGAATTGTTTAAGTTTGGTTCTAGCTGTTTAATTTGCAAGATAATTGATCAGTTAGCTAACAAGGTTGGGACAAGTCAGTAATTTCAGGAGGTTTTAAGGGTAGTTTAGGCATGGGAAAAGGGTAGTTTTATTAGATTTGGTAATTTTTGAAGGGGGGTAAGGATAGAATAGGGATTGTAATAAGTATAGAACCTTCTAGGATGGACTACAGTATAGATTTCAATAGAATAGGTGTAGTTACTTGTGTAACAAGTCAGAAAATAAAGGGTAAACACTGAAAATAAAAGAGGGACTAGAAGTGTAAAGGAAAAATCTGATAGAGCCTTAGTTTTGCCTATAAAAGGCATGCCCATTGCCTTGTTAAAGAGGAGTTTTTTGGGTAGTCATCTAAACCCCCCAAAAGAGCATTCTACAAGTTTTCGAAGCCTAAAAATTTCCCCAAAAATATCATTCAAGTTCCAGATTTGAAACTAAAATTTTAGATCAGATACCCTTCAGATTTTAACTTCCTCAAACAGAAAAACACAAAAAACAGTAGAAAATTCTATAAAAGTCCTGTTCTACTGGAATTTCTCTTAGAGTTTGAAGTTAGATTTTTAGCTAGATGAGATTTCCAGTCGACTGAAGAGTATAAATGGCCTGAATATCATCAGATTTGGGTTTGGTCTGAGTTCAGGGAGTTTCTTTTCTGGTTGGTTTTGAGCACATCTTGGTTCATTTGTGTTTGGATTTCATGTGTTTTTGGTGTTGGATCTGGTGCTGTCTGTTCCTGGGTTTGCTGTGTTGATTTAGGAGCCGAAGTTGATTTCATTGTTTTGAGTCTGGGCTGTTGTTCATCACTGCCTCACTGACCTCCATTTCTCCTTCATTTTGCATTTTAATCCCAGGTACACATTTGAACTCAAAGTTGATGTAGCTTCGAGATTGAACATGAAAATGGAAGTATTCAAGCATTTGCTTGCTGGAAGATGCATCTGTAGTTAATTAGATAGCGATGGTGTATATATAACTGTATAATGTAGTCTAATTAGATCTATATTCAATGAAACTCGGACTGTGTGATTTGTACCTAATTGGACTGTTTGGACTGTTAATTTGTAGTTATCAGCTGTAGTTAGACTTGTTTCGCATTTTTCTGTTTAAAGTTTGAAAGTCAGAAATAGTTTAAACTTGTTTCCATAACCACTTTGTAACGCAATAGTTAATATAAGCAGGTTAATTTTCAATGTCAAAACCTGTGTTTCCCTGAGTACACTGTTTAAAGCAAGCGTTGGCAATTCTGGGTCAGTAGTGAGGTAATTAGTTGAATAAGAATACATTGTTGGTTGTTTGATAATTAGATATGATCAAAGTATGAATTTAGGCTCGTAACTTGTAATCAATACTCTGTTAACTTGAATAAGAATACATTGCTTACTTTATTGTCAGTCATTGAATGCACTCATAAGAGTTCGGAATAATTTCGGTGGGCAAAGGTTTGAGCAAATCAGTGGCTTGCCAGCACCAGGGATTCGATTTTAGATCATCCCAACGCAGCCTGATATGCTTGTCCGATCTGGGCTAATATCAGGCCCAACGCCTGTGTCTGTTGGGAATTTTGTCTGTTTGTGTCTATTGACTAATTAGGACCTTTTCTTGTGTTATTAGAGATAAATAAATGAAAAGTCGTAGTTTACTTCAGGACTAGCCCTTGAATAATAAACGAGACGAGCCTCGCCAAATACAATGCAAAATTGCGGGGCCCTCGATAAATGGTTACATTAAAGAACTTAGAATTCGGGACGGGCCGTCTAGCGAATTTCACGGCCCTCCCCAAAGGTAATCACGCGCTAGTCACTTTAGGTGCGCTATTAATAATTTACCTTCTTAAACTCAGGTGCACATTTATGTGACCCAAAATCCAAATCTCAACGAAGTTGAAATGTATCAAAAATCACGGGTGCACTGGTGCAACGTGGTTCGAGACACATTTTCACGACGTTGCAATTCTCTAAAAATAATAATAATAAAAGCGTTTCAAAGTTAAAAGGCACATAGATTAAAACATGTACTAAAATCAAACAAATAAGCCAAATATGACAGTTGAGCGACCGTGCTAGAACCACGGAACCCGGGAATGCCTAACACCTTCTCCCGGGTTAACAGAATTCCTTACTCGGATTTCTGATTCGCTGACTGTTAACAGAGTCATAATTTCCTCGGTTCGGGATTCAACCGGTGACTTGGGACACCATTAATCTCCCAAGTGGCGACTCTGAATTTTAATAATAAATCCCGTTCCGATTGTCCTTTAAGTGGAAAAACTCCTATACACCCTTTGCAGGGTGTAGTAAATAAAAAGGAGGTGTGACATCAGTTGGAACATTGAGTTGCATATATATGCTATTGTCACGGGGGCGTTTTTGGTCAGTCAAAAGTCACACCCGCCTGGCAGTCAAGTCCCGTACTTGACTCAACCTTCCTTCGCACTTAGCCAAATTTCAGCAAGTTTGGCGTTAATAAAATTTTAGGCAGCAAATCA